TATTCTAGAGACTTAATACGAAGTCAAATCATGTAACATTTGTCCTTTCATGCCTGGCTTCTTGTACTCAGCATGTTCTTGAGCTTCATCCGTGTTGTGTCACGGGGCAGAGTTTCCTTTCTTCCATCGTGTGGATGGACCGCATTCTGTTTATCTGGGCATCTGTTGACGGACACTGGGTCCCTTCTGCTTTTGGCTGTCGTGAGCAGCGCAGCTATGAGCATTGGCCTGCAAGAGTCTGCCTGACGTTTTTAGGTCTTTTTGGGTCCATGCCTCGGAGCGGAATTGCTGGGTCATACAGGAATCCCGTGTTTAACTCTTTGGGAAGCTGCTCTTTCCCATCATCTCAGAGGCATTTTTCCCATTCTTTTCTCTTCAGGGACTAATCCGATGATCCCGGTGGAAAACACGGATAGTGTGGTGGAGCACGTTGTTTTGGTCCATAAATCCGTGGGTGAATTCAGCAAACAATTTCTACAGAAATTGAGGCGTAGCAACTATGTAACCCCCAAAAACTACCTGGACTTTATTAACACGTATTCAAAACTGCTGGATGAGAAAACTCAGTATAACATAGGTAAGACGGGGGGATGGGGTAGGGAACGAGAGAGGATCCAAGTGCTGACCTTGTCTTTAAGCAGGTGCTTTATTAGCAAGCGCAGGTGTACTCAGGATTGAGGCCAAGTACAGCATGTTCTGGATTTTACTTCTCAGAGCGATTCTTCTGGATGAGAGAGGCCTGGCATGCTCGTATTTTTATTCGCTTTCTGGGTTCCCTGGGGCCATTTGCTGAAGCAGAGCCGCAGTGTTGGATCATGCCCTTTGGAGCTCTGCATTTTCGCTGCCTAGAGATAGGGTCTGATGGCCGCAACATGCTCTGTCGGGAAATGCTTTTGAAAAAATGCTCTGGCTGTTGGCCAAGTGAAACGCTGTTTTCAGAAATACATTTATTTCGGCCGATGCAGGCCCAGCATGGTGGTAGAGGTACTGAATGGTGCCTGACGTCTCATGAAGATGACTTTTTCGGTTGAGCCCCAGTGGGATGGATCAGAGTGAGACCCCTGGAATGCTTGCCCCAGGCGTGTGGGGAACAGCACCCACCCTTGTGACGAACACAGCTTCTCTCTTTCCGTAGCTCAGTGCAAGCGTCTGGAGGGGGGGCTGGACAAGCTGAAGGAGGCCACCATCCAGCTGGACGAGCTGAACCAGAAGCTGGCTGTGCAGAAGGTCGTGCTGGCGGAGAAGTCGGCCGCCTGTGAGGCCCTGCTGGAGGAGATCGCCACCAACACGGCCATAGGTGAGTGTGGGGCCGGCTTGAGGGGCAGGGGCTCCCCCAGACAGGACAGGGCTCCCCTGGGGGACATCCCCGAGAAGCCACGTGTCAGCCTGCCGTTTTTCTCCTGAGCATGACGAGCATTCCTACGTGTGGGGCTTCTTGGGCCCCTCCGGTGGGTTCCCCGCTGCGCTGAGCTCACCTGCAGTCACTCCAGCCCTCCTTCGACGCGGCTCCGCTCCAGGTCCACCTCCTCTGTGATACTTGCCCCGCGGGCCCCTCTTCTCGGCACCCCGACAGTGCTGACGGTCTCCGCTCTGCTTCTCAGTTCTGACGGTTTCACGGTTGTGACCTCGCTTCCTTCTTCCCATGTGTTTGTCTTCTTGCTGCTCCAGCCAGAATCCCTCCCTGGGCCAGGATCCTTCAGAGTGTCAGGGCCCGTACATGCTTTCACCGTGCAGATGCTCCGTCAACGCTTGCTTGTTGACTATGGACAGGACTCCCTAGAGGACGCTGCACTGGAAACTCCGAGGGCATCCAGCATCTGTTTAGCAAGTGCCTGCTATCTGGGTTCCCTGGGGCCATTTGCTGAAGCAGAGCCGCAGGAACTTTAGCAGGGCCCCCGGGCACGCAGGATAGTGATGCACCAAACTGGTTATGAGCATGGCTGTGATGCTCAAGTCCTTGGGCTCCTGTCCCACCTGGGTGCCTGCAGACAAGGGACAGTATATTTGTTTCCTAGAGCTGCCCAAATAAATGATCACAGCTGGGGGGCTTCAAACAACAGAAGTTTACTCTCTCACCATTCTGGAGACCAGAGTCTAAAGTCAAGGTGTCAGCAGGGCCGTGCTCCCTCCAAAGGCTCTAGGGGAGGATCCCTCCTTGCCTCTTCCAGCCTCTGGCATTTGCTGGCAGTCCTTGGCTTTTAGGTTCATCTCAGTGTCTGGTGCCAATGGTACATTACCTTCTTCCCTCTATGTCTCTGTGTCCTCACGTGGTCTTCTTATAAGGACATAAGCCATTGGATTTAGGACCCGCCCTAACCCAGTATGACCTCACACGAACTCATTAGATGTCCAAAGACCCTCTTTCCAAATAAGATCGCATTCTGAGGTTGTGGGTAGACGCGGATTGTGGGGAACACTAGTCAACCCAGTACACCTACTGTGAGCTGAGCTCTGTGCTAAGCATTGGGGTTACAGCCCTTGGGGAGATGCCTACATTCTAGTGACTGGAACCAATCAATGAGCCAATAATTAGGTGAAATGCTAGATTTCCATCAGTGTCATGAAGCAAATAGAGCAATGAGGTCCAGAGTGACAGAAGGGGCAGGCCCCCTTAGGAGGGGTGGCTTTCCAGCAGGGCCTGAACAAACCTAGGAGATGGTGATGAGAAGCAGAGAGCTTTCAGTGAGCCAGAAAGACAGGAAGGGCAGCCCTGGTGTCCTCAGCTCACACTGGCCAAGCGGGGTTGGGGGCCGTCCAGTGGATGGAGTGGTGGGACTTGGGTGGGCCAGTCAGAGTGAGAGTAGCGGTCCTGGGGTTGGAGACCCCGTGCCCGGTGAGGACTTCTCTTCTAGCAGGAACACCCAAGGCCGCCCTATTGGCCCGAGCTCGTTAGATTCCCCCTGCCAGCCCAGCACCCACCTTGGAGGGCTCTCTCCTGCTTTGTGTCAGTGGTCGTGGTCTCTCCTCTCCATGCCCAGAAGCTTCACTGACCTGCCCCTCCCCCCACAGCCGAGGAAAAGAAGAAGCTCGCAGAAGAAAAAGCCATGGAGATAGAAGAACAAAACAAGATCATCGCAGTGGAGAAGGCTGAGGCCGAGATGGCCCTCGCTGAGGTCATGCCCATCCTAGAGGCCGCCAAGCTGGAGCTGCAGAAGCTGGACAAATCGGACGTGACCGAGATCAGGTAACCGATGGCGGTCTCCACGTGTGCCTGGCCGCCCACGGCACTCCTCAGAACAATTACATCCTGGCAGTTAGACGCGGAGCTACGTCATGTGCCGGCCACTGGGCTGAGCGCTGTCCAAGGCGGCTTCTGTCATTCCTGTTATGATCCTCATTTGCGATGAGGAAGGTGGGGCCCAGGGCGGTGAGGTGGCTCGCCCCAGGTCCCCCCCGAGCCAGGAGGTAGCAGGGCCTGTTGACTTTGGGCCCAGGCTGTCTCACAGAGGGGACTGAGTTCCAGAGCTTAGTAAGCCAGTGTTCCCCACAGGAAACCCCACATCAGTGTCTGCCCTAAACTGCAGTAGGGCACCCGAAGCAGGGGGCCAGCGCCCTGCTAAAAATAGCGTGACAGAGATGTGCCACGAGCTGCGAGTGGAGAGGGGGTGCTCTGGGGCGGGGGGGAGAATGGCTCCTTGCTGTGACTCCCAGGCATTTGGCAAACAATCTATAAAATGACTGCATCTCCCACAACCAGAGGACTTCCAGGAAAAGGGCCTGGTATGGAGCCGGCGGGGGAGCTTTCTCCCCGTGTTGTGTGGTCTGACCCTGGGGCGCCGTTAATGGATCTCACTGGTAAATTTAGCACCAAGACCAAAGCCAGGAAGGAGCGCTGCCGTCTGCCTAGCTCCCCCCACTCCTCCCCCCTGTGACCCTCAGCCCCTCAGCTCTCCCTGTCACATCCTCATTGTCAGAAGGGGTTTGGTCCTTCTGGCCCCACAGTCCGGGCTCGTGAGAGAGAGACTCCTGTTTCCAGGTCAGTGGATGACTTTCCATCTTGGGCTCCCAGCAGAACGAGGCTTGTTCTCTGCTTCTCGCTCTTCCTGAGGGCTGAGCAGCCTTCCTTTGTTACGGCTGTGCCCTTGTTGTTTGCTCATTAGTGAAACATGGGGATTTGAACTGAATGTCCAGCTCGTTCCAGGGCAGGGGACCCAAGCAATTCTTGGGAGGTCATCTGCAGATGCTGCTGCTGTTGGCAAGAAGTCGTTCTTTCAGTTTTGCGAAGCGTGGTTGAATGAAGGTATAAGGATGGACGTTTTAAAGTCACAACCGTACGTGTCAGACATTCAGACCGAGGTGCCGGAACAAAGCACACATGCATAGCGAGCTGCGCTGTAGGACAGACCATCGGCAAAGGCTTTTAGGTTCATCTCAGTTTATGTTTCAAGGGAAATAGCCAGTCACCAGTTACACAAATTTTGGGCACCATTCCCAGTTCAGCAGCATAAAAATACTGTAAGAGCAGAGAGCTGGGGAGGAGTTTTGAAGGGGATTTATTTGGAGAGAAGGGGGTTTTGAAGGGGATTTATTTGGAGAGAAGGGGGTGTGAGTCCCCCCATCAGCCCAAGGGGGGAGAGGCGAGATGGGGCATCTGCAGAACTAAATGGAGAGCTCGCTATGTGTCCCCCACAGTGAGCGAGGGTTGCCTGCATCATGCTTGAGACAGGTGTGAGACGGGGGCTCAGCTCATTCCTGAGAAAGTGGAAATGGCCTATGACCTAAAAGAAATAATTTTAAAAATGTGATTATTGGAGTAGATTATATGTTCATCCACGGCTCTGCCTCTTATGGGCTGTGTGACCTTTGGCAAGTCCCCTAACCTCTCTGTGCTGCAGTTTCTTCATTTGTGACATGTGGATGATGATAACTGTCCCCATGGCATCAGGGCTGTTGGGAGGATGGACTGAACTATTACATGAAGAGCTCTCAGGACTGGGTTGATCATGAAGTCGGTGCCAAGTGAGCATGAGCTAGGATCATGGCTCCGACTTAAAAATGACATGTGAAAGCCCCTCCCACCTGCCCCGTCAGCTCAGTTCCCCTTCCCCCACACAACAGATACCCACTGCCATTTAGTTCTCACATATCCACCCGGAGTTTTTATGTTCAAGGCAAGCACATATACACGCGCCTCTTCAGTTCCTGACTGTAGATTCTGAAGGTTTGTAGTAGAACAAGGGATACCTGAGTGTTCTTTTTTCCTCCTGTTTTTTGGTGTGTAAATGGTCTTATACTGTACACATTTTCCTATATCTTGGCTGCTCCGGTGAACGATGCATTTTGGAGATTTGTTGCATGTTGCTATATGATGAACTTCCCCGTTGCCCTGTAAGGCTGTGCCATCGTCTACTTCGCCAGCCCCAACTTAGGAATCTTTAGCTTGTTGCCAGTCTTTTGCCTTTACACACTGCGTGACGAAGAACAACCCGGACCATACTTCATTGTGCAGCTGGGCAAGTCCCCTGGAAGGATACGTTTCCAGAAGTGGAATTGCCGAGTCCAAGGGTGTGTGCATTTATAATGTCTCTAGCTGCTGTTTAATGCTGTCCCTGGGGGATGAACAAATTTACACGCCACTGACAATCCACGTGAGTGCCTGCTTTTTCATAGCCTTGCCAATAGAGAGCATTATTACACATTTGAATTTTTGCTCGTTTTGTAGATGAAAAATGGTATTTATGTAGTCTTAATGTGCATTTCCCTTATTGCAAGTGAGGTTGGCCTTTTTTTCATATGTGAAAAATGTGTGTAAGGGTCGTGTGTATTTCCTTTTCTGTGAACCGGTCATATGCTTTGCCCATTTATCTGTTAAATTGTTATTGTTGGTTTTTTTTTTTTTCTTATGCATTTCCAGTGGATTTTTATGTGATAGGGAGACCAGTTTTTTAACCATGTGAGTTGCAGATATTTTCCCCAGTGGCCATTTGAGTTTGCTTGTGAGGTTTGTGTTTGCTGTGTGTAAGATTTTTGTTTTTATATGGCATACTTTAGCAATATTTTATTTTGTGGCTTTTGGATGTCATGTCATACTTAAATGGCCTTAAAACTGCAAGATTGTAAAACACTTTCCCCATGATTTCTTCCCATACTTTTACAGTTTAATTCTGTACAGTTAAATATTTGATCTTTTGGGTTTTCCTGGGGTTCAGTGTGAGTTTGGATCCAATTTTATTTTTTCCAGATGACTATAATCTGGCTTCTTTTAGGTTGTTTGGATGTTAAGTGTGGTGAGCTAGCACTGACATCTTGACGATTTCATAATCCTTTGATTCTTTAAATAGCACTTTGTTTCTGTAATGCTCAGTCCTCTTTGTAGAAATCATCAGATGTTAAGGCAGGAAGATTAGGAGTCATAAAGATCAGAAGTGGATGATCCTCTATAGTATAAAAGGCTCTCTTTGTTACTGGCTTGCGATTTGACTTTTCTTCCTTCCATTCACTGGGTAGTCTTTGGGTGCCTAGCACCCACGCATCCTATGCTGGCACTGGGGCTGAGCAGCAATGAGCCAGGTGGGCAAGGCCTTCACTGCATTCAGCTGACGCTCTCAGGAAGGCACGGGCATTCATGCAGGAATCCCACATGTACAGTAACATCACCCAAGAAGTTCGGATGGGAAGGTCTTTGCTGCCATGGCTGTGGATAATGGGGGAACCTCACCTAGTCTGGGGGTAGGTAGTCGGGGAAGGTATTCCCCAGGAAGTGACATTTACTTTTTTAAAGGTTTATTTGAGAGGTGAGGGAGGGGCAGAGGCAGAGGGAGAGAGAAACCCAAGCTGACTCCACACTGAGTGTGGAGCCCAGTGTGAGGCTCTCTCCCACCACCCTGAGATCACGACCTGAGCCAAAACCAAGAATTGAATGCTTAACTGACTGCACCACCCAGATGCATCCTCCACCCCCTGGAAGTGACATTTAAACTGAGATGTGACCAGACAGTAGGGATCCACCAGCTGTAGGATAGAGGCTAGAGGGGGACCTTCTCTGAGGCTGGAAGGAGCTTGGGCCAAGGGAAAAGCAGAGACAGTCGGAGTGTCTGGGTTATTAGAGTGAGGAAGGTAGGGAGTGGGGCTTGTGATGATTCTTCCCCTCCAGGGAGGGCAGCATATCATCATCATCACCATCTCGCTCTCTCTCACCTGAGTTTCTTTTGTGATAGGAGAAAGGGAATGAAACAAAAATGTTTCTTTTTCCCGGACTGACAACCTCAGGATTTCCTAACACCTCAGCAATACGTTCTGTATAACGAACATGGTTCCAGGTACTAGTTTGTAAGCTAATAGCAGAGAACTTCACTTTCATAGACTCACAGGGTTTTGGAGTGGGAAGGTCTGGTTCTGCCTCCCTGTTTTACACGTGGGAAATTTGAGAACCCTGGATAGTTTATAACTTGCCCATGGGCTCAGAACCCTTCACCGAGGCTGGGGTTCTTTCTGCCTTATATCTGAAAACATGTCACTAATTCTTTCCTCCTCTGATTATTCAAAGGTCAGTGGCCTGGGCCTGAAGGAAACCTTTTAAAAAAAAACAGTTGACAGCATGGTCGGCTTTCGTAAATGCCTAATGCCAGTGTAAATTGAACCTTTCCCCGGCGACTCAGGACCATTGCTTTAATCATTGGGCTTTGTGCTGGAGTCATTGCCCTGGCTTGTCCTTATACCGCGTGGCTCCTTCTCTCCTCTCCTGTCCGCAGGCGAGTGGGTGGGGGTCCTGGGGCCAGGATGGCTGGGGCGTTTGCCCAGTAGAGACAGTCTCCATGCTGCTGTGCTGGTCGGGTTGTTCTCGCTCTCTCGCCCCTCCCACCCCCCGCCCCCCGCCCTCCTGCTTGCCTCTGGGTTGCTCTGGCCTCCTGCTGGAATGGCTGGGCTCCCACCTCACTCCCCGCTAGGCTGCCCTATGCCCTTCAGGGGCTGCTGTCATCTCTCCCTCTTCTCTCTTTTCCTCCCTTCCCTTCACCTCTTCTTCATCGTGTTCCTGCTGCTTCTGGCTCTCTTCGGGGGTCTGGTGTCTGCAGGACTCACGTGGCTTTTAGAGACTTTGTGCGGCAACAGGCGGCCAAGCACCCCCCGTCCCCCGGGTACAGTTAACGTGCCACCCGTTCCTTCTCGTGCGTGTCCTGGTGCTGTTGTGCTGACTCCCATCCCCTGGGGTCTCAGTGCCCTGGAGGGTGAGGGCACCGGACATCCGAGTGTTGGGAGCAGCAGAGTGACGGTGCGGTCTCCTCGAAGACAAAGGAAACGGGTAAGGGGTGACATAGCCTTGAAGGAGCCCAGGGTGTGGGGACCCCGGATCCCACAGGCTGTGTGAACACAGGCAGGCCATCCAAACACTCTGATCCCCATCTCTTCATCCAGTAAACGGAAAATAGGACGATGATGAAGAGGAGGAGGAGGATGGCAGTATGCGAGCGGCAGCGCGGCGGAGTCTGAGGAACCACCCCAAGGTGTAATTAGAAACAGATTCTCAGGCTCCACCCTGACCTACTGACTCAGATGCTTGGGGTGGCCTGGGTTTGCATTTTAATGATACCTGCCCCCATGATTCTGATGCCAGTTGCGTTCCAGGAGCCCGATCTGGCCCCTGACGGCTGAGACCAGTCCTGGCCCTGGGAGAAGCCCACCGGAGGAGCCCAACTCCATGTTGGGATATGGCTTCCTTTGCCTCCATGCGGTGTCACCGCTAAGAAATGACTCTGGGGCACCTGGGTGGCTCAGTTGGTTAAGCGGCTGCTTTCGGCTCAGGTCATGATCCTGGAGTCCCGGGATCGAGTCCCGCATCGGGCTCCCTGCTCGGCAGGGAGTCTGCTTCTCCCTCTGACCCTCC